TGTTTGCGGTTCCAGTTTTGAAATGGGAGACGGTGAAACACGATGCATGGATTCCTTCTTGAATTGTGCTCACCCGCAGTTCCATTAGCACCATGTATGACAATGTCACGCAGTCGATGGTATTCACCAACAATAGCAAGCCGCTCAGTCGCACGCTGTTGTGCCGTCAGGAGTCTATTGGCAAAGCAACTTGCATGTTCTCTGTTTGACACCATTGTTACGCTCACCACCTCCAGATTCAGTTCCTGCAGCCCAACCAGATTGAGAACCTCTTTCATAGCTGTACCGTAGTACGCGTCACCGGGTGTCAAACCTTCTTCCCGCACAGCAGCACGCAGACGTTGCTGCCACTGGTGAATCAGTATGTCTCGATCCGGCTTTGTGTAACCCATGTTCTCCGCCACCGCGCTGAACGAGGCCTCGCTCATGTAGTACACGTCTGACGGTTCCCGCCCTTGACGCCTCAGCAAGTCACAAAACCCATCCCAAGACATTACAGCGTTGTTACCAAAATTGACGCTCCTCGTATCCTTTTCGTTACCGTAGCTGTGGTCTCCATTTCCATTGATTTCGGTCTCTGTGGCAGCCGGCGGATCAAAGTGGGTCACGCTCAAAATAACGGGAGATGTCTGCTGCCTCTGGTGCTGTGAAAACGGTTTTCCCTCCTCTTGTCGCTTTGTCCCTCCATTCGACGATATTTCTCGCTGCGGCGACCATTTGTTTTCTGCCGCCCGTATTGGCGGCACTGATGTGGGGCGAAGCTGTCGCAATTGGTATTGTGTCTGCGTCAACTCGTAGTGTGTCGGCGGAAACAAGTAACTCCGCGGGTCCGGTTCTGGGCCGTATTTCAGCGTCAGCGCCTCAAACAGTTGAAATGGAGTATTATTCGACTCACGCAAAGCGCGCGCCACATCGGGAGTGGCGGTGCTCACATTGTGAGCCCTCAAAAACACCGCCAGACGTGTCTCCACGTCAATGTTGTCTGGCTCCGGCCCATTGTCCAGCACGAGGTTGTGCATTAACTCTTCCTCGCGATTCTCCCACTCCTTCAGAAGCAACGGCACCTGAACCGCGTGTTCTCGCCCGTACACACGGAAAAAGTCCCTGACACGTCGCTCGTAGTCCACAAGTGCATATTTTCGATACAATTTTGTGAAGGTTTCCACCTCGGGGATGCCACGCACGACGCTGTCGACAAGATGCAGCCCGCCCGGGTTATATTGCGACAGAAACTCCGTGAGACGTCGCCGGTACCCGGCGGTGTCTGAGGGTGCCACGGTGAGCGAAACGCCCACCCGTCCCATCTCCGTCCCCACAATGTGCGTCACAATCTTTCGCCGTTGCACCACATCGGAGACGTCAATAACAAGATTCTTCTCACACGAGCCGATAACGCGCTCACATGTTGGTTGCCGCTCCTTGACAAGCAGCATTAACCCAATTGTGGGGGCGTTTGTCGACCACTCGGCTGAAACGGCGGCACCGCGCTCGCCACGACCGTCGAGTTTGACCTCCAAAGGATCCGCAGCGGAGGCCTGCACGATGTCTCGCGTCGTAAACTCCGCAATCACCTCCGGGCATTCTGTGAGAAGGGTGCCGTTGCTTGACACGGCACGCGCAACAACAGAAAAGACACGTGCGTCATCACATTCGTCATTGCTGCAAACACCGCAAGGAATATTTACGACGTTGTGAAGCCGAACGAGGACCTTCCAAACGCTGCTCATAAAGAAACGACACACCGCTTTTGGGAGCGTTAAACACGCACACATACACACAAAGAAAAAAAGCAAAAATTTATCAACATAAATAAATAAACAATGTATCCCACATGCACTAAAAGAATAAATATATACATACGTTAACAAGAATGACAACAACCGCTAAGAAAGCGTCATCATGGTCATCACCATCATCAGTATCTGCACCTCAAAAACAGAAGACACCTACCGGGTGAATAAAAGAAATGTAAAAAGATTTACCGGTCTCATTTATACGGCCCCTGTCTATTTCTTGACTTTTTCTTTCCATTTATTCCCACCTGCGGCACGCCCTGTGCTACCCACTTTAGCCTCGCTCTTTGCCTCTTCACGTTTATCTCGTTCCCTCGCGTGGAACATCTCGTCCACCTTACGTTGCTGCATCTCCTGTTCGTTCGGTACCCAAAAGAACGGCTCCTTTTCCGCCTTCAACTTGCGAAAATTGGGTTCCCAGTCAAAATTGTGAAGTTTCACATGGTAGTCAATGCGTTCCCGCTCCCAATTATCCCACTTGAGAAACACCTTCTCCTGGTCGTCGTGGTCCATCGCTCCTGTGGCAGTGAGGTTATGCATATGCGTCATGATATCCATGTCGTTAAGTACCTTTCCAGGTCCCTCCAGATCCAACTGGGAGCAGAGAAAGGACAGCTCCTCGCATATGTTCTCCGTATCCCCCCAACAGTAGTGACCACCACTACTCCGCACGCGCAGAACAAGGGGTCGGGCAACAGGGTCTGTTCCTTTACGCCGTCGCTGCTGACGCAACTTGGCGACGTACTTCAGTGTGTTCCACGGCGGCACACGGTCGTCGTCAAGGCAAGTGGAGATCATCATGCCCGGGTATGTGACGCGATCATTGATGTTGAGATAGGGATCATACTGCGTCAATCGAGCGTAATCCTCTGCGTTGTGCAGCGGGTCCCCCCAGTCATCGCGCTCCGCCAGTGAGAGTGGGAGATCAGGGTCAATCATTGTGTTGATGATGTCTAGAAATGGCGAACGAAGAAGGGCGTTGCCAAAAAGCCCACAGCCACGCATATTCATTGCAGCTGCAATGGGCACGCAGCCCGCACTATTCCCTGCTGCAACCATAAGCTCTGGCTTGGTGTAACCCATTTTAATCATATGCTCACAACATGCGATAAAGTCATGAACGGCGTTGATCTTGTTTTTGCCCTTCCCCTGTTCCCCCCAGTTGGGCAACTCACCCCCACCCCGCACGTGGGCAAAGACAACAGTCCAACGCCGTCGCAGCATCCACATGTACGGTGCGAGCTGGAAGTGCATCGATGGCACCTCACCATATGAACCATACACATAGATAAGACAATGCTTGGGCGTGTTGGGCTGGGCCTCAAAGTCGGTCGCCTCTTGCACAAAAGCATCGCGCCGATGACAAATCGTTATAGGGATCTGTGTGCCATCCGGAGAAAGACATAGATCACGATAGATGCTGTACGGCCACATGTAGTCCCAGGGTGTCAACTGCTCCGACTGATGTTGCGTAAAGAGAGACTCAGAACTGCACACCCAACTCTTCTCTGCTGTCATCTTGCTATCAAAACTAAATACACAATCCCTGCTCGGCTGGCATATACTGCTGTAGACAAAACTCATGGAATCCTGATTAAAATTTTTGTTCAGCCCCGGCGTCACTGAGGTTAGGGGCGGAAAATGCAGCACCAGGTCATCCTTGCGCGCCTGTCGTGCGGCGTCATCGAGCCCCTTGTCGCACTTAATGATGTGGATGTGGTTGATGCGCTCAAACGCAAAGTGAACTTCGTACAGAACAATTCGTCCCTGAAACAGATCCATGTCTACAATCTGCACGTCGTCTCGGTAAGGAACAAGTTCCTTCCACTCGGCGCGCATGCCATGTTTAAGAACAACCTCCTCACGCGCATAAACGACGCGGTGATTCGGCCCCTGGTCGGCTACCACCATAATAAAGTGGCCATCGTAGTGCTCCAGCCAATTCCAATTTTCCTTTCCGGCAATCTCCACCGGTCGGCCATCGCGGAAGAATGCCTGCAGCTCACGTGAAACCTTCGGAAAGGAGGCTGGAAGAACAAGGGCACTGCTCTTGAGTTTGGAATCAGATGTAATGATGATGTACGCATTATCCTTCGTCTTGTGAACATCAACGAAAAACTGCTCATCATCCTCACGGTACAATTCCACGGGCGGAGGAAGAATGCCTGGACGAATTTGCTGCATAATCACCGTGTATGGGCGGTTGAGGTCGTTAGACTCCGTAAAGTAAAAATAATCTCCCGAGCCAAACTCAATACTCACAATGTTTCGGCCACGAATCACATGAAATAGACTGGCGTTGTCGATGCTGCGCACGTGACAAATGTATCGATCACCACCCTCCACAGAAAGCGTATACGCCACGTACCTTCCGTCATCTGAAACGCGGCAGATGCCAACATGACATTTCTCGTAGCCAAAATGTTGCTGCAGCGACGTTGGATTGATGAGCTCCTCCGCAAGTAGATCCACTTGACCATACCGTTTCCGATAAAATCCAATGGCGTTGGAATCGCCCCCTGGCACCACGCGTGTGAAGTACACAAAGTCACCAATGCGTTCCTCACCTTTATCAAAACCACCCTCTCGGCTTGTGACGACTACTTTGGAATCAAGCTCCGCCCACAACCGGGCCTTGGTGTGTTTGAAGTCAAACTTAGAATCAATGAAAGCGTAGTGGTGCTGCTCACTTCTCACGTAGCTCTGCGTTCGCCGATCAAAGAGATCCTCCATGTACTTGAACGGGTCACTCTGTGTGCGCTCCCCGCACAGCAGCAATGACTCGGGCACCTCATCCGGTAACGGGCCGTCCAGGAACGGCAGCGGACATATGTTGCGCGCGTGAGGGGCAAACCGATTCAAGAAATATCGGCACAGCGTATACGCGACATTGGATGCTGGCACCCACGGGTACAATGCGGCCATTTCTCTTCTCTTTCTGTTTCGTTTTATTTGCCCTTCAAAAACCCTTTATTGCCCCGCACTTGTGGTATCTAACTCGGCGCGTGTGACTGTGCAATTAAGAAACAGTAGTGACCTCTGCACAGATCCCTTCTACTCGGCCACACCTACACTGTTACACCCGCCCCATCACACAACAAACACAAATTCAAACCACATGTCGCCCAAAGAATATAAACAAATAAAAATGCCAACAAAAACCAGGGAAACCACCACACATACCAATACACGAAATAATCCACCGAGTCACAAAAAAAAAACCAAACAATTTGCAGCATGAAATGGCATAGTCACTAGTTCAACCGCACAAAAATATTGAATCAGATCACCTGTAAAGAAATGTGCAAAGAAAACTTCGCCCACAACATTAAGACTTCCGTTCTGACAAGCACGGAAAAATGTTCCCCTCGGTTGAGGGTCTAATCCTGAACTGATACGTATAAATAAAACAGGACGGGAAAGAAGAGGGCCATGGAGAGGCAGCGGCCTCGCCACATCCTCAATGTTTGTCCCAACTACATCTATATGTTCGGATAGCCATCCTCGTGCCACGGTGCGGTGTGTTCGGATTGGAAACATTTATTACTTACGAGTTGGAACACTTTGGGCCCTCCAGCCACAAGACTCCGCCGCAAGGTCGGAATCAAAGAGGGTGGATGGAAAAAATAAAAATAAAAATAAAAATAAAATTCGTCGTGCCGTTATCGGTTCCTTGATTCCTTCCGTCGGGGCCTTTCAAAGGACCATAAGATAGGAAAAGGATCACACGGAAATATTTTCGTCGTTTTACCAAAACTTATATTAAGTTGGGCAGCCAGCCCTCTCAATAACATTCCTTCTCACATGCACTCAAAAATACCATCACACCATCCACGCTGTGACACGCATACTTAGTGAAGAGAGGGCGCAGGAGAGAAGAGTATAAAAAATAGTCCGCGACTTGATATCCTCCAGCACAGGACAAATAAAGACACCTTGCACTCCCGTCATGCTGTCGCCATGGCTGCGACGGATGCATTCCGTGGCCCACGGCGAGCCCAGCACGACTCCCCACACCCATAACCATTCATGACTGACGAAAAGGAGGTGTCGAGTGCGTCTTTCGCTCGCCTCCCGCGTGGGGCGGGCCCCACAACTCACACCGTGCGCGACCCCCACACCAATAAGCGGAGCAAAGAGGACACGGCTGGGCAGTTTTGGCGCCCACTCGCAGGGCTGCCCATTCCCCCGCAGCCAAAAACAAATACTATAAAAGCACAGGAGAGGCCTGTCTGCGTGGAACGCCGCATCGAGGGTCCTCGTCCCCGCCCTCAGCACAGCAGTCACGAACACCCCCGCACCCATTGGGTCACGGCGAATTCCCATCGCCTGCCCGCATCAGAAGACGCACGTGGGCGCATGCGGTGCTGGGACTCGTCCCCTCCCTCCAGACCACCTCGCCACCACGCGGTTGCGCAGAGACTCATCCCCCCAGCATGCAAATGTCCGTTAAGCCACGCATCGCAGGCACAAAAAAACAAATACGCTCATCGTCCGTTTTTCAAGGGCAAAGAGAGGAGTAGCGCAACAGTTGCACGATGCTATTGTTACTGCAGTGCTGCGTCTTGCGAGTGCGGGGCCGACGGGCCATGTGCACATCATGACCCTGCCAAACGCTGCTCGCGCATTTTCTTTTTCTCGTTTTGCTCGTGTTTTCTCGTTTCCTCAAATAAATATGATGACCCGCCCGTCGGCCGCCATCGCAGTGCACGTCCGCCCCGCCACGTGGAGATGTGGAAGAGAGCCCCGTCGCCCGGAGACGGAGCTACAGAGGAGAGCGCAAAGCACAACCCCGTGACGCTGCTGCTCGATTGGGGTGCGTCCGCAGTGCCGCCCGCCACACCATCCACGCTGCCCAATAAATTTATTGGCGGCAAAATCCCGGAATCAGAGTCGCCGCGGCCGCTTCCTCGGAACCTCGCCCTCGTCTCCCTCCGCATCCTCCGCGGATGTCGGGTCGTCCGCTAGGGGCGGGTCAACGACCGGTATTGGGTGGCTGCTGATGTTCGGGAAGGCGGTGCACACATCGGCGTATTGGGGGCACACAATGCTCCCACGCCAGGGACCCGATGGCGGCGTGACGGTCTCACCTGCCTGGCACTCGTGCCACGCATCGTCACGAAGAAACCGCACGCTCAGTGTGCCGTCGCCGCATCGAGTGTCCACACACACATCGC